GGTACCTTGCTGAAAAATCAAATCGGATCACACCCGAAGACAATTCAACATGCAGGGAAGATTTTGACCACGTTCGGGTGTCATACCCGATCGGGTGACCGACAGACCCGATCGGGTATGCCCTATTTTTTTGGTTTCCAGGAAGCTTAGAAGGTACCCGATCGAGTGGCCTAAAAGCCCGATCGGGTACACATCCCTGCATGCTCCAAACACCTATAAATACATCTCATTTCCTTCACAATAAAATCACCAATTCACATATACTCTTTAGCTCAGTTTAGATTAGTGTTTTCTTTATATTTTCTATCATGTTTATATTAGTCTCCAAATGAGGAGCTAAACTCTTCCATCTTGGTTTTGCTACTTTGAAGTTTAATGAATTTGTAAGTTGTGAGTTATCCTCTTTAATCTTCTTCCTTGAATATTAATTCTTCCTTTAAATACTATTTCTATATCAATGTTGGGGAGTGTTACTAAGATGACAATTAGTTAACATCTTGACATTAGTTATAATAATAGTTATTTCTTCCTCTACGTTAATATTGGGGAGTGTTACTAAGATGACAATTAGTTAACATCTTGATACTAATTATAGTAGGATTCATCTTCTTTAATATTCTTCCTTGAGTATTAATTAATTCCTATTCATATTTCATATTAATATTTTGAACACTACTTAAAGGATCAACTAGTTTTGTTTCATATATTAATTACTACTAGAATCGATCGACGAATACGCTTGTTAATCGTTCGATCGTTTCACGGTAGTAAACTTGGGTTATTAATGCATGCGTTTCATGGTTAATAAACCAAGGGGAATTAATTATGTTGATTAAACCAATAAACCGCTTGTGTTGAGGTTATCAATCTCAATCGTTTTCATCTTGATTTTATTACTACTACCGGGTTAATATACGACGCGTGTTCTATATTAACTCGGTAGTAAGTTTTATTAATAAACGCGTCTCGTCATTAATAACTACCCTCGATGAACTGGATTTACTCCTCGATTGAGTATTCGAGAGGAAGATAGTTAAAGATATAACTGGGATTGACGAACATTTCATTAAGTGGATAAAAGCAAAGCCAAGTCTTCTTCTCATTAATTAAACCACATAAGTCGTTCATCTTTGTTTTAAATATTCTTAAAAGTTCTTCAATTACAAATCTAAAACCCCCCCTATTACTAGTTATAAAAAGAGAAGTATTCCTTTCCCTGCGGATACGAACCTTACTACGCTATACTACGTATAAGTGTTGTATTGTATTATTATTTTGAGTGCACATCACGACAAAGTGCACGTCATACATACGTATCATTACCTAATTAGCATCAGTATTGTGTCGCTAAATGTAATTGTATCATTTCCCTTTACACTTTATTCAAATAAAAAATAAAATAAATTGAACCTAATAATTTTCACTTTAGTAAACCCAACTTGAAACCAAACAAAAATTCAAATGATTTTAATTTGGTACAATATCTGCCAAATCGAATAAACTGGAACTGAACTAAAACCGATGAAAACCCCTTGAGTTGGGCCATAGCTGACTTATTGGGCTATGGCAATTGTCCATAGTACCATCTGTTGGAAATTTCAAATGAATAAAGCTTTGATTGTATATTATTTTTCATAACCTTTTAATTTAAATACATTTTGCAAATAAATTGATGTGTGAGCTGGTATCATTATTTTATGTAAACGTGTGTAAATAACGTTGAAACGTTTGGGCATTTACCTTTATGTTTTTTTTCAACGTTAACCATCTTTTAATACAACAATTAAATACATTTATATATTAATATGGCCCAACAGTTTTACATGGCAGCAACGTTCAATTTTCCTCTATATATTTGCTTATACTGGCTTTGTTGGGAGATGCCAAGTCCTACGTACAATTGGAATACCATTAGTCACTATCATTATCTTATTCCAAATTTTTGAGTTGTTGCTTTATGGGTAAATATATACTCCATGCATTGTGCGAAAGAGCGGACATACGAGTATATTCATACAGAAAGACAAACATTTTCTTCAAACACGTAGATACCTCTGCTGGATTAATATATTTTTCTATTCTCGTTTTTTTGTTACCAGCCAGGGACGTAGCTAGGGGGTGGCCACCCTGGCCCTGGCCCAGCCCAAATTTTAAAATTGTCTAAATTTTTAGTATAAAAAATTCTGTGTAATTTTTTTTTCAAAAATATTCTTTGTATCGGCCCAGTCCGGACCAGTGTTCTGGCTCCGCCTCTGTTACCGGCTTACGCCGAAGAGCTCGTTTTATCTTGGGGAAAGGTTTTCGCTAGTCGGAAATACTTTCTTGAGAACAGCGTTTACGCGACTCGAGCTATATTATTTTACTAACGCTTTTTGCAAGTTTATCTGGCCGAATTCCTCCAACACCATCATCACCATGTTCCAGATCGACCTGTCCAGCTAGTACGGCTCTAATGACACAGTTAATATGATCAGATTGAGTAATAACCAAATTTTTAATCTTTCCGGTTTAATTATTATATAAAAACTCACATCTTTGTACTTCAAGGTCAGACAGAAACGTAATTGAGTGGAAGCTCAAGTAATAGTACATGGAAGTGCATGTGGTGTAACAAGTACTATCAAGAAGTTACATGTTTATTTAGTAATAATGCGACAATACAACCTTACCAGATACATTTTTTGTTGCGCAAATGCACGTACGGAAGATTGAGAGCCCTAGCCCCTGGTAAAGAAGGAAAAGGGTCAATGCCATATATGGAGAATCATGATAAAAAAAATGGAGAATCATGCATGATATGTACATATTTATATGTTTGTAGGGAAAATATATAAATAAATGCACACAAAAATAAAATGGTCCATTAAGTGTGCACACGTGAAACATGTATTGGTTAGAGTTATCCGTGAATATCCCAAAATTTTTAAAGAACCTCATATGACTCCCTTATGGAGTCACATATATAGGGCATTTTTGCGGCACAATCCTCACTATTGGCAACTCAATTATCCTAACTTATCACAAATCAATTAATTTGGATGTGTTGGGTGTGTACGCATAAATCAATCAATTAACCAAAACCAGAACCGGCTGTTTTCGAACCGGAACCGGGGTAGGCTTACTAGGCTATACAATGTGTTTTAAGTACGATGTGTTTTACAATGTATTATAACACTCAATTTATCTTTCCTCAATTAACGACCAGTGTTTCAAATTTTCAATGGATGTTCATCGAATTGAAATTGTAGGTGTCGTACGGTAGTTATATACGAGTCGTACGTAGATCGTAACATACAAAAGTATAAAGTGATTCAAATAGCGTAAATGTAAATGATGGCGCGTGCAAAATTTTCTATAAATGATATCGATAAAAGTGATGTGGCAAACTAAAAGCAAGTGAAGAGTGGCAATAAGTACGTAGTGGGGTTGTAGGAATGGCACTGAAGTAGATAAAGAAGGAGCTGAAAGACTAAAAGGTGCAACCTAAATATATTTAAACATAACAAGTCTATATTGATTCGAGAAGGCAAAAGATGTAAGTAAGTTGAATAGAAAACCAATAATAGAACACAAATAAAGGATTGGAACTAGACAATATCGGGACTAATAAATAACAACTAAAGGTTTCAAGGAATAATTATACTGTTATAAACGCTACTAGATGTATATCTACACACTACAGTCAACTAAAGGTCGCGTAGCTTACCTACTAGGAATAAGGTGCCACAAGAGAGCTCTTAAGTTCAACTCCAAGCAAGAATTTGGGATGTAATTTCTATATCTTTTCATTAGATTAAGATCAAAGCTCAACTTACATCCTCTCAGATAATCGTCCAGTCGGTTGGGGTGTCATCCCCTTTTTAGAGTCTCAATTTTTCTTAAATATTATTTTATTTCCTCCATTTTTTATTAGTTGAATTGCAACACTTTTATTTTCACGTTTGTCAATACACAACTTTGCTCATTAATATATTTGATTTACTAATTGTAAGAATTTAAAAAAGTTTATCTAAAATTTTAAAATGAGAAGAATTTAATTATATGTTTTACAAAATCAATTTTAATGTGTTTGTAGATTAAATATAACCAAAGTAGAGCACATTTATAGTACTCCTATAACATTTTTAGTGTTGCAACTATTTAAGAACGGAGGTAGTACTACATATGTACTACTCTTAGAATAAGTTTCTTTTTTTTTCTTTGGATCATTCTTCAACTTCTAGCTTCTCTTTTCATTTTGAGAAAATAAATATTAGTATGTGGTTTTTACTATTTGACTCTTTAATTTTATAGTCAACCTAAAACACATCTTTCTTTTCAATTACTTTATTAATAAGTCCATTTGTTAGCTAGAGCGACTTGTTCTTTGTCTGATACACAGTCTTGACTTTACTCTCCTTCTGTTATTGCATCGGCTTTAGCCAAAGATTTGATTAATGATAATTAAGTCTCTTTTAAAAAACATTAAATACACATGTCTGACCCAAACAAAATATTTAGTTCAAGAAGGAAGAGGGCATCTGTTTCAAGACTAGTTTTTGTCAAACCCAAACTGATACTACGGTATTCATTTTTTTTGTAGCCTACAAGTAACTCCTTTCAAATAAGAGTAAATTCCTTATATACGACAAAAACATAGACAAAGTGCAAATGTAGGACTTTCATTTTTTTTCAAAAATAAGACTTATTCGCTCGGGAAAGGTTTATGGATTTAATACGATCAAGTAATTTAAGTCCTACTTTAGAAATAAAAGACATACAATTTTATTTGTATACTTTTGCTAAGTTTTAGTCTTATTTAGGGGTAATTTCTAGTCAAACTAGCTCCCCTACTTTTGCTATGTTTTTGTAGGGCAGTTTCAAAACCCTCCAACTTTTGTCATTTGGTGTCTAATTGAAGTACCTCCACTTCAATAATTCACTTTGCTTAGATCCTTCCTCCGGTTAAGAGTGTTTCAATTCACGGATGACTCTATTTATATGGGCTAGCTAATCTCATTATTTTTGAGTAACCATACATAGTCAATTAGTGAATTGGCCGGCAAGTACGATGTATTGGTTGTTATTCTTCCTAGCAGCAATGGCCATGGGTGTTTCATCGTCACCAAATAATAATGGTGTTTTTGAAATCTATGACCGCTACTCGAGCGAAGTTGTCGAGGTCTTAGGCAAGGGCGGGTTGCCTAAGAAAGGAGGCTTGGATTACATTTCATACATGGCAGCCCGTGATTCCCGGAGACGCCAATCTTCTCCGGCCATCACCTTTTCACCCGGAGATGCCACCTTTCAGATGCAGACGTTCGCAGAGTAAGTTCAGATGAGTATAATGCATGCATGGAAATTTAACCTTTGATATCTAAAAATATACTACGTATACAGTACGTAGTACGTACTTATAAACTCTAAAGTTACATACAGTGCAAATTAACATTTGAATATATAATCTATACTAGTATTACAATGAAGTATACAAAGTTAATTATGTGTGATAAACTAATGTAAATTTTGAATAGTTAACGGCCAAAGTTTATAAAATTTAACTAAAAAAGAGTAACGAGAACTTAATTGGGGGAGGTACTATACAGAGTAAAACTAAGCATGTACCATGCACTTTGCGTAAAATGTTACTAAGTACCCTTTACATTATATTTAATGTGTGTTAATTTTATTTTCAAAATATTATACGCTTATTTATATTTTTACATACATAATTAAACGTATTGATAGCCAATTAATTTATAGAGGTAGTCTGGTTGTATATACTCCCTCTGCCCCTTTTTATATAGTTAAACACGATTTTTCAAGTCAAAGTTGTTCAACTTTGACCGATTATATATTTATACACGGTAATATTGATAATATAAAAATTATATGAATATGTTCTTTGCTAGAAATATTATCGTAAGAGTATAAATTTATTAAGTTTCACATAAATATATTATTTAAAATAATCGATCAAAGTTTATCACCTTTGACTGAAAAAGTCAAAGATGACTAAATAAAAAGGGAAGGAGGTAGTATAAATTAAATGGTCTCAATTAGAGCAATTAACCATATGTGTGAGACCGACATATATCTGTAATTAATTAATTAATTAATTTGTACCCATTGACTCTACTTTACAGTTATCATTTTGTAAAAGTTTATGTGGGAACGCCTCCTATGTCCTTCATGGTGGCATTAGACACTGGGAGCTCATTATTTTGGCTCCCATGCAATTGCAACGTCTGTTCACGCCACTTCACTTTTCCTTCAACGCATCTGGTATATACTTCGTATTTATATAAGTGCTTTACCTACGTATTATTCTCTTCTATTCGTACATGTTATTATGGTACGTTAATTGCAAATATAATTTCTCTTTTATCCTTTTCATCAAATTGTTCTTTTTGTACTTTGACATCTGCCATGTACAATCTCTCGGCCTAGGATAGACCATAAATTTCAATTTTTACCATCCGAATAATTCTTCCACATATACAAGTGTTGGTTGCGACAGTGGAATATGTCGGCGGCAAAATTGTCCTTCAAATAAGGGATGCCCCTATGAGGTCCTATACTTGGATGGATCTTCGACTACAGGGGTGCTAGTATCTGACGTCATACACCTTGCAACTTATGCTAAGCAACCTAAACATTTTAGAGCAAATGTTACATTCGGGTACGTACCTATACCTATATACTAGTTCTTTTCTCTTTTAATTGCAACATTAGACTTTTTGTATTACTCACATATTCTACTTTGACTATATTTTACTAATTAATGTATTATAAATTAAATTTTTTAAAAATATTATTAAATTCTTCTCATTCTAAAATTTCAAAATATGTATTTTTTAAATTTTTTACTAATAAGGAATGAAAGATATTAATGGTCAAACTTGTGCGTTGACAAACGTGAAATGTTGACTGTTGCAATTAAAAAGGAACGGAAGAAGTACGTATTATGAAGTAGGTACTCCCTCTATTTCTTAATACTTTGTTATCTTTTAATTTTTTGACCAAGCAAGGTAACCTTTGATCAATAGTACTCTCTATATTTTTATATGAAATGATTTGTAATATAATTGTTGAAGTACTTTCATAAAAGAATCAAATTATATAATTTTCATAAATTTATACTCCGTATTGATCAAAATTATTATTGATCAATATTTGCCACCATTAATTTAAAAGGTCAAATATGACAAAGTTAGATAATAATGTTTGTTCATTCATTTTGTGGGGGTTATTTGTGCATATGCATATGTGGAAAATCCAAGCCCAAACTTGGAGTGATGGTCCTGATGGCTGCTTTGTTACTACACATATTTATGCACGTCATGACAATGTTCCCTCCGATTCATAGCTTTGTCTTATTTGGCATTTTTGGTCAAAGTATTGAACTAATTTTAACGATGTTCATAATTAACATACGGACTAGTATTTAGGTAAAACCCTAATTTTAAAACATCAAATTTCGCATCACTTTCATGGTGAATTTCGAGAATGCATGTTGAACGTCGGTTAACGTTCTAAAACGTAGGTGTAAATAAAAGTATTGTGTTTTCATCTTAAAATGTACTCGACTACTCGTAATTCAGTACTTGTTATTGGCAGGAAAAACAAGAAATTAAAATCAAAACACTGGTGATCCATCTTTTTGAAAAATGTGTTGAGTTTTAGTCATATTTAATTATGTACCGTAATTTTTTAATGTTATACTACCGCCGTCCCATATTGGTTGTCCACTTTCTATTTGATACGATTATTAATAAAGTGGTTGAAAAGTAAAAGTTGTAGTTGAGATTTGAGTAGAATAAGATGAAATGATAAGAATCACATATTTCTTGCAAAAAAGGAAACAAGACATTCATTTTGGGATAACTCAAAAAGGAAAGTAAGACAATCAAAATGGAACGGAGGGAGTAGTATTCATTTCTTTTACTGCGCTTTGTGCATATAATTAAAGGTGTGCATCCAAGGTAAAAGGATTATTTGTGCGCTCTTCTGCCGTCAACGGGCTATTGGGACTCGGGCCGGGTAATGGGCCTGAAGATATGGATGTGCTTAGCATCCTTGCTTCTCAAGGGATTATTGGCAATTCCTTCTCCCTTTGTTTCTCACCCAATGGGAAGGGGAGATTAATTTTCGGGGACAAAGGAACTCGCAATCAGAAGAGAACACCATTAGATCAAACAATAGAAAAGTATGTATCTTGTATATTCGGGCTAGCTACTTCTCTTTTCATCATTACTACAATTTTAATTTATAGTAATCCTGATTTCTAATAGTTAATTATTTTTATTTTTATTTTATTTTTTATGGTTAGTTACATTTTATAGACTTAATTGATTCTGTGGTTTAATCTTCTTATATGCAGTGAAGCTCACAATGTTCTAATCGAGGATATTGTTGTGAACCAAAATGTCTTTAAACATGTTGGTCTCACGGTATTTTTTGACTCTGGTACAACATTTACAGTCTTAAGTGATCCAGCCTATACTTTTATTGCAGAGAATGTGAGTCATTTTCTTTAGAAACTATTTGTACATATTATGGAAAATTTCTGAAATAGGAGTAAAATTTCTGGAAAATTTGCCATGTTTTTATCCCCAAAATAGGAGTAATTATTGGTAAGTTTGCAAAATATTGTCATGTTTAAAGTCTGATATGCTAAAACATGACAGTAATTAGTCGTGTTTTTTGAATAAAAACATGATAATCCTATTTTAGAATATATAAACGTTTTTAATTTTATTTAGGTAATTTTTCTATAAATAATGCGAACCACATGCACACACATTGTATGGGACCACAAATTATGGATTAATCAGAGGCACAAGTCTGTAACTAATAATGTGGCCCCATTTTGTAACCCCAAGTACTAAATTAAGCAAAGTGGTATCATAGCTTAGTCATCATATTTAAATAGTTGGGTCGATCATTATGGCCAAAAATATTTGGCACTACATACGTAGTCTAAATTTCCGTAGTTTAGCATTCGTTATATGGAAATAATTAATCAACTCAAATATACATTATATTATCTTACCGAGCTCACATACTGATTAATTAGTACGATTAATTTAGGGAATAGGCAAATATGTATCTAATATACATAATAACATACCGCATCAAATGCTTTTATAACTTTATCAAAGTAGAGTGGTACGTAAAAAATCAAATGCTTTTATAACTTTATCAAAGTAGAGTGGCACGTAAAAAATAATAATAAAATATGGAGTAGAGAGATTTAACAAGAATCACAAATTGTTTATTTACAAGAAAAAATGACAAAAATTTTGGGATGATTAAAAAGAGAAAATTGACAAAATTATAAACGACACGAGGAGTGCAATGAAGAATTATGACACTTTATTATGTATAATAAAGTTTACATAATTTTAAATCAAAATTACATGATGTTAATAGAGTTTTTTCACAAAGAGGGGTAGTTCTAAAACTTATTTCCCGAACTAGGGTATTTCTGACTAGTAATTGGAAACTGTTATTTTGACCCTAATTTCGTAATGGTTCTGTCGCGAGACAACGAAATTTGTGTAGCGTACTAATTCGCTGCATGCAATAGTTGAGGGGTTCCAAAGTACAACAATATCAATGTGATTTACACATTTACCCCTAAAAATTAATGTTTGTTTTACCAATTCTTTGCAGTTCAATTCTCTAATAAAGGAACCTCGCCGCAAACAACCATCTCCTCGTTATTTTGAATACTGCTATGACTTGAGGTGATTTCATAGTAGAGTAACATTTATATATATTTTTTGACATGCTTCTATTACGTTCAATTTTGAACTCTCGGAGTAACATTTACACTCCGTATATACTCATAAATATTTTTTTTGTTCTGACGGAGATTTTGTAACTATATATGCCTTTTGTAGCCAAAATCAAAGTTCTTATTGGACTCCTACACTGAGTTTAATAATGAAGGGAGGACAAAAGTTTGATGTGCTTTTTCCAACATTCCACTTACATCCGGTGTTTGCTCAGCTCTATTTTCTTAGAATTATATTCCTCAAATGTTGTCTTCTGTTTAAAAAAATATAACTCTCATCTTTTCCTTATTTAATTACCTTTTCAGGGTAACAGCCCTTTCTATTGTCTAGCTATTATCAAGGATGACAATATTAACATAATCGGACGTGAGCAATATTAATTCTCATCCACTCAATCTATCTAGCTTTTTTTACAATTATTATTTACGATATTGATTACGTGTTTTTTATATTTTAATTTACGTAATAGTATAGTATTAACGTATCTTAATTAGCATGTATATGCATGCATAACTGCATAACATAAGCATGTCCAATAAATGAGTAAATGACGGTACGTATTAATTATTTGTGCAGAGAATTTCATGACTGGCTACAATACAGTGTTTGATCGAGAAAAGCGTATTATGGGGTGGAAGCAATCCAAATGTAGGTCTATTATATTCCAAGCCGTTAATTATTAAGAACTAAGAAATAATATGACGATCGATTAATTGAGCATACCCTACGTATGTTTATTATATTGTAGGTAAAGGAAACCAGTTCAATGTTACTACCTCTGCTTGGGATGCACAAGCTTCATCACTGCCTATTATTACCAGAGTTATGGGATTGTTATTCTATTACTTTTTGTGTACGTAGTAAGAAATTGTTGTAAAAAGGAGTAAAGCATACGGGATGTACATAAATTGAAGTATTATTATTTCATTTAATATAAATGATTTAATCTTAATTTAAAAGAATAAAATTAAAGTAGCTTAAACTTTTTACATTTTAAGAGAAAAAAGGCACTATTTTGAAATCAAATGAGGGGTAATTCTCTTAATATAGAAGTAAATAAAAGTTAAATTGAAAGATAGAAGTATAAGTTTTTGATTCCCAGAATAGGAGTAACTCTACCTATTATATCATTTTCATGCTTTGATAGGATTTTCTTATATTTGTAATAATAAAATATAAAAAATTAAAACAAAAAATTTAAAATAAATACTATAGAGTTACTCAAATTGATAATTTCTCTAATAGAGTTACTCAAAAGCCTAATGCCTTAATAAATATCCATATACTCTGATATGAAAAAAAAAAGATGACACCCCATCCCTGAGGGCCCCCCAACACCGACCGGACGACACGATGGGAGGATGTAAATTGGACTATAATCACAATCTGACAGATAGAGAGTGGGGCTCCGTCCCCGGTACTTGCAGACGCCCTATGCATTTTTAGCATAGTAACCTCTCATCGCAGGTTACTATGCTAGATAGAGAGTGGGGCTCCATACTTCGATCTGAAAACGTTACATTGCAAGTGCAAACTCAATTTATTGATCTAACATTGCTAAAATATATTTCATGTACGTATTCCAATACCTCTATCTCAAATAAAATTTCTCGTCTACTACTCTCTATTAGGCCTAAATTGTTTTCAATCTTTTTTTTATATATTCATTTTTTATCAGATTTGAGTTTTTTTGTAAGATTTCATTAAAGTCCCAAAAAGGTTAGAGTTACAAAAAATTCTAGTATCACAATATTGCTCTACCATAACGCGTAACCTACCCCACCCACCCACCCTTTTCTCCTACTATACCCGACTACCCCTAGTCCTTACCACCCCGATCATACCCCTAACCCTTGCCTATGTAAAGTAATATGATTGTGTGTATTGAATGAATAATTAGAGTACAGATACAATGTATTTATATACACTTATACTATACGAAGCTATACGCTAATAGATAAACATGTATAACTAACCTATGTAATAGTGCGTACATTAATAATAGGCTACGTTTCCTTTAATTGTAACAATCAACATTTTACGTTTGTCAACGTACAAGTTTGACCATTAATATCTTCATTTCTTATTAGTAAAAAATTTAAAAATTTCATATTTTGAAAATTTATATAAGAAAAATTTAATAATATTTTTTAAATTTTAATTTAGAATACATTTATTGATATAATATAGTCAAAGTAGAATGTGCATGTAAATAGTGCAAAAAGTCCAATGTTGCAATTAAAGGAGAACGGTGGTAGTATTAAATTATGTTTTAATAGCCTATCCCTACCATAATATTTTTCGGATAATCTAAACTACAAATTTTCACATTCTTTTGTATATACACATAATTTTCACTTTGTTCTTTTCTCTATTTTGATACTAATTTATTCAAATAACAGTATTAATAATAAACGTATGAATATATTAAATCACTAAATTTGAAACTTTATTAAACATGTAAAATGCATACCAGGGTATTGGAAGTCCTCAAAATTTGATGTGTTGCTTCTTCGGCCATATGTTGATGATTGGCCCTGCCCGATATCGTGAAACGTAGCGGTAGTATTTGTAAGAACTTCATCGAAGATCAAATTTTGTGGGGGGAGGGGGGAGGGGGGGGGGAGCATAGAGTTGTTTATAGCATCCACGAAAATTTGCAATTCTTAGTACTCTTGAAGAGCGACCCGGGAAAAACAAGTCCATGACCGGTCACGTGAATGGGCCACGCTCTAGAAGCAACGTAGACCGAATTCTGAAATTTTGGCATTTTTCCATAAATAGATTTTATTTCAGAAAAACCGTCTTCTCTAATGTGTTTTAGAACACCTTTGTATAGAGTGTTAAAAACATTGATATGCACTAATTAGTAGTGCATAAGTGTATGTTTTTATGTTTGATTTATGTGTATTGTTTATCGTTTTATTTAGTTTGTAAACATTTGTGTGATTTTAGTTCTAATTGTATTTTAGTTCTCATTTGTAAGTTGTAAAGTAGAATTAGGAATTATGGTGTTGAAAAGGAGGACTTTGAAGTGAAGAAAAAGGAATTTTGACTGTCCAGGAGCAAATACCCGACCGGACATAAGACGTCACCCGGTCGGGTCTGATTCAACAACCGAAAGTGCCTGGAAAGTGCACTCACCCGGTCGGGTCTCCTACCCCACCCGGTCGGGTCAGACATGACCCGGGACCAAACGACGTGCAGCAGCATTAGAACATGGCGAATTATTTGATTTTGACATGCACCCGGTCGTTGTTCAAGATGAATACCTTGAACAAATTAATGATGTTGGTTACGAAAGGGATGTACCTCACATGAGGTATGATCCGGTCTCCAACTCTAACATGTCTACGGAGGACATGATTCGGGCTATTGCTACCAACATGACCACCATGCAAAACAACATGGTGGAATTCCAAAATGAGACCAAGTCTAGCATTTTAAACATGGAAACTCAAATGAGTCAAATAGCCAGAGCCGTGAGTAGGCTTGAAGCAAGGGATTCGGGAAAACTTTTCTCTCAAATAGAATGTGATCCTAAACTGTAAACTTTTGCAATCACATTGACAAATGAGAAGGAAATGCAAAAGGAAGAGGTAGAAGAGGAAAGAGACATGGAGCTCCAGCTGGTCAAGGAAGAGGATGAACCGAGTTTCAAGGTCAAATATATCTATCCTTATCATTCTTTGAGGTACCCCCATCAATTCTAAAAACTTTGAGGGAAACTCATAAAATTGAAAAGGAGAGTGACATTTTTGAAATCCTCGGAGAAATTGAGGGATCGAAACATTTTCCATTTACCATGTTAAACGATAATTTCTCTCCCTCACTCTCACCACGCGAATTAATGAAAATCTGGGTATTTGATCCTGGAAAGATTTTCAAAGTGAAGAGTAGAGAAATTGAGCATTTCTATGGAAGTCCTAGGAGTGAACGTGTGAAGAAGATAAACTATCACGATCGAAGTTTGAATGACTGAACACAATGATAGCGTCGTGCCACGACGTTAAATGAGGCGCTTCTTGGGAGGCAACCCATGCAAGGTATGTTTTCTCATCATTTCATTTCAGTTGAGTGTGTGTAAAAAAAATCAAAAAAAAATGGCCTGGGGATTGAACCCGGCCAGGTATAAAACTTAACCCGGTCGGGCCCCTTCATAAAACACAGCACCCGGCCGAATCACCCGGGCGAGGCAGTTGTGGAACAGAGGAAAAATGAACATACCCGACCGGGTAACTTCAATACACCCGGCCGGGCATGTTCATTAAAAACATTCTGGATAAGCGGGAGTTAGACCCGACCGGGTCAACTTACCCCACCCGGTCGGGTCATCACGAATTCTTTCACAGACTGAGTTGGCCATCCTCTTCCTCACTTCCTCTTCTGCAAACACGAACCAAACTCCGCCAAAACACCATTTTCAAACTCCATACATTTCAATCTTCTCCATTTCTACACCAAATCCATAAAAAAAAACATCCTGTTCATCTCCTCTTCACCCTCTACACCCACCAAAACACCCACAACCCACCAAAAATCCAAATCACCTTACTCCACAAACAACAAAAGCCGAAATTTCCTTACCCCAAAAAAAGGGAAATGACACCAAAAAGGGCAAAGAGATTCATTCTCTTGGACATCTCGGACACAAGCACTAAGGACAGTGCTTTGATTAGCTTGGGGGGAGAATCTCATGGAAAACTCAGATACATACTCTATATTCTTGAGTTATTTAAAAAAAAAACATTAAAAAAAAGGCTTGTTAAGTTGAAAACCTGAAAAGGCAACTGAAGCAAAAATAAAGCAAAAATAAGAGTGAGTTGTGAGGATTGAAACAGAAAAATGTGGGAAGCTGGGATGAAAACCCGAAAGGGCACCTAGGCAAAATGAGAGATTGAGAGAAAGTATGTTCTTTTATTTCTGCAGGATCCTAAGGGTAACGAAAAAAATTGAGATTGATAAGAAATATGGAGTTGAACACCCCTCTTTACTCTTATATTTTTGGGGATAATTTTGGTTTACTCGAGACGAGTAAAGGTTCAAGTTTGGGGGTGTTTGATATGCATTAATTAGTAGTGCATAAGTGTATGTTTTTATGTTTGATTTATGTGTATTGTTTATCGTTTTATTTAGTTTGTAAACATTTGTGTGATTTTAGTTGTAATTGTATTTTAGTCCTCATTTGTAAGTTGTAAAGTAGAATTAGGAATTATGGTGTTGAAAAGGAGGACTTTGAAGTGAAGAAAAAGGAATTCTGACTGTCCAGGAGAAAATACCTGACCGGGCATAAGACGTCACGCGGTCGGGTCTGATTCAACAACTGAAAGTGCCTGGAAAGTGCACTCACCCGGTCGGGTCTCCTACCCCACCCGGTCGGGTCAGACATGACCCGGGACCAAACGACGTGCAGAAGCATGAGAACATGGCGGATTATTTGATTTTGACATGCACCCGGTCGGGTGGGCACTTGACCCGGTCGGGTACCCGGCCCAAGGTGTTGAAAAACACCTATAAATAGCACACTTTTCCTTCACAAATAATAATTCCTTCTTCCATACTCTTAAGCTCAGTTTAGAATAGTATTTCTTTTATATTTTTATAGCATGTTTAGTCTCCAAATGAGGAGCTAAACTTCCATTTGTAGAACAACATACAATGGCAGCGGAATTGAAATAACTAAGGTAAATAATCTTTTATTATTTGTTCGTACTCCTTACAATGGCCGCATGAGTTTATATATATAGCATACGTACCTTAGGAGTCATATTGCAAAGAGTATTCTAGATACGATATTAAACCCCCAATGTATCTCATCTACCATATACGTACCCCAAAGAAGTAGTAACTACCAAAAATAATAAGCCCAGAATATTCGAAAAGATATTCCTACAATACCCCTCCTCAAGTTGGAGCATGCGGATTAAGAATGCCCAACTTGTAAAGT